GCTAGCTAGACGTCTGCAAGTACGATAGCCCACCGGGTCGTCTGCTTGTAGATCTTCAGTAGTTTTTCTTGACCGATGCCCCGCGTCGTTAAGTTAAGCCTTAGCTAGGTGAACATAAGGGTTGCGATGCCCCGCGTCCTCCCTACGGTTCAATGTTAGGTTAGTCATATTGTATGTACCTATCTACTGTTATGTTTTCAATATTGTAACAAGAAGAACAATAAATTACTTTCTTAAGGACAATTGAGTTTAATTCTCAACACGCCCTTACAACTGGCGCCCAACGTAAAAGAAGAAGACGGGTATACTAAAAATTCAAAAGACCCGCATTTTTTATCAACGCGCCTTTCAACTGGTGCTCAATGTAAAAGAAGAAGACGGGTATATTAAAATTAAACAGACCCGCAAATTTTTAACGCGCCTTACAACTAAACGGCACCCAACGTAAAAGAAGAAGACGGGTATATTAAAAATTCAAAAGACCCGCATTTTTATCAACGCGTCTTTCAATTGGCGCTCAATGTAAAAGAAGGAGACGGGTATATTAAAATTAAACAGACCCGCAAATTTTCAACGCGCCATCCAATTGGCAACAGTAAAAATAAATATACGGGTGTATTAAAATTTTTTAATACACCCGTATATTTATTTTTATTAAATAACATTTATTTGAAAAAACATATTCCAAGGTCAGAAATTAAGACTTTTCGGGATCTACTGACAAAAGGACGTCATTTTCAAAGTTTAAAGAATAATGAAGAGGGAGAAAAATTAATAATCAAAAGGTGTAATTATTGTAACAAGAGGGGTCACACAGAAGATGAGTGCAGGAAAAAGCAAGCAAAGAATATGGAGAAGCCAGGTGTTAAGTGTTATGGTTGTGGCACCCCGGGAGTGTACAGAAGCAATTGCTTGAACTGCAAAAGTAAGGAAACGCCACCAAAGCCAGTACAATTTTATTCTATTATTAATAAAACTATAGAAGATGGAGTAAAAATACCTATAATTGAAGTAACTATTAAAAATTCAAATGGGTACGCTTATTTAGACTCCGCGGCTCGTACAAGTATCGCTGGTTCTACATTATACGAATTATTATTAAAAGAAGGCTACACTTTCACGGACAAAGAAGCTTTAATTAATTTAGCTGATGGCTCCACAAAACACATGAAGCTCAAAGTTATAACCATTGAAATAAATATAGGTAATCGTTGTGTTCCCATTACATTTTCTGCAATGCCAGATGAAAATAATACTAGAACATTGTTGGGGATAGATTTTCTAGAATCTGCAGGAATAGTACTTAACTTACCTCAGAGGTCATGGTATTTCATTGATGCTCCAGAAACGATTTTTCCATTCTTACAAATTAAAAACGTACCCGCACTGATTATAAAGAATTCCCAAAATGTAAAAAAATTGGATTTTACAAATATCAATTTAACTTCAGAAACGAACGACAGTCCAACAGAGTTTTTAAAATGGTTTAATGAAATTAAAATGTTATCTCCAATTCCGGATACTCCTCCTTACATTAAAGATGAATCCGAAACAAGCCCCGTACATAAACGAGAATGGAAGTTAAGGCGATTGAATACACCACCTCCAATTATTCGTCCTAGGGAGCCTAGAGCAGAAAATGAAGATACATTAAAGCATAAAGATCCTCGTGTACAATACATACCAATAAATCCTGTTAAACTTTATTCTTTTGATTTTTCAATCATTGATCAACCAGATACTTTATTAAGAAATAATGAGGCTGAATTATTAAGTGATAGAGAACGATCGCAATTAAATAATCTATTGTTTGAGTATCAAACAATTTTTAATAAAAATGGTTTCCCAACTACAAACATAGAGCATACAATTGATACCGGTAATCATCAACCAGTATCTGTAAAACCATATCGATTATCACCTCTTCGTCAGAAACAATTAAGGACGAAAATTGATGAAATGTTAGAAAATGATATTATTGAGGAGTGTGACTCGCCTTGGGCAGCACCAGTTATCCTCGTTCCTAAAGGTGAAAACGATGTAAGAGTATGTATTGATTACCGACGTTTGAACGACATAACTAAACCTGACAGATATCCTTTGCCAAGGATGGATGATTTATTGCATCAAGCTAAAGCAATGCCATATATGTCTACAATTGACTTACAGTCAGGTTACTGGCAAATAATTGTAAACATTAATGACCAAGAAAAAACAGCATTTGTGTCTCCCTTCGGAACATATAAATTTAAGAGAATGCCATTTGGGTTACGCAATGCTCCAGCAACTTTTCAGAGGCTCATGGATCGTTTCGTTCGTGGGCTGAAATCACAATATATTTTAGCGTACTTAGATGATCTACATTTGAGATCTAAAACATTTGAAGAACATATAGAAAGTCTCAGAGAAATTTTCAATAAATTAAAAGAATACAATTTAAGAGCTAACAGAAATAAATGCAATTTCGGGTGTTCCAAAATAAAATATTTGGGTCATCTTATTGTTCCAGAAGGAATACAAGCAGATCCGGAGAAAATATCAGCTATCGTAAATTTAAAACCTCCCAGTAATTTGAAACAGTTGATATCATTTTTACAAACTGCTTCGTGGTATCGAAGATTTATTAAAAATTTTGCAATCATAGCTAGACCTCTCACCCTTCTAACAAAGAAAAATGCGACTTGGCTCTGGGATAATGATCAACAAAATGCATTCAATTTACTGAAAGAAGCATTAACTACTGCACCAATATTGCGTCAAGCTATAAATGACGAACCATTTACCTTAAAAACCGATGCAAGTGACTATGCTATTGGAGCAGCTTTATTGCAGGGGGAGGACAATAATGAGCATGTTGTAGAATATGCTAGTAGATTATTAACTCCAGAGGAAAAGAACTACACTGTGACTGAAAAAGAAGCCCTTGCAATAGTCTGGGCGGTTTCTAAATTTAGAGGGTATATTGAAGGAACGAAATTTTTAACTATAACAGACCATCAACCATTAAAATGGCTTATGAACTTAAAAACACCTACAGGCCGTTTAGCAAGATGGGCGATGCAATTGCAACCATATGAATTGGAAATACAATATTCTACAGGGCGTACAAATTATTTAGCAGATATGCTATCTCGCCCTCAGTGCGATGAGCACATTGATGATAGTAAGATTTCTTTAAATTTAGCAGAAATAGAATTGCCGAAACGAAGTGAATTATCCATAAGAGAGGGACAATTAAACGATGAAGACTTAGCAAAAATAATGTATGCTTTAGAAGGTGATATTGAGAGTGAAGATTACGTAGAATGGTTTAAAAAAAGGTTATTTACTTCACAAAGGAGTTCTTTATCGTTATATAGCTGATCAAGATGATGACGATGCGAAACTTTTGATTCCGAAGCAAGAAAGATATAACATATTAAAAGCTTACCATGATGCACCAATATCAGGACATTTGGGAGCCGATAAAACCATTGCTCGCATAACTAGTCATTTTTGGTGGAATGGTCTTAGAAAAGATGTTTTGAAATATATTAAAACTTGTATTGAATGTCAACGTTACAAACCTTCAAATATGAAACCATCTGGTTTATTTCAATCTACTGCAAATTACCAGAGATTTGAAGTATTGTCGATTGATCTTTTTGGACCTTTACCAAAATCAGAAAATGGAGAAAAATGGGTATTTATTATTGAAGATACTGCAACTAAATGGATAGAACTTTTTGCTGTAAAGGATGCAACATCGGAAGCATGTGCTAATATACTCATAAACGAAATCATTTTAAGATATGGTATTCCCAGGAAATTAATTAGTGATAATGGCACTCAATTTATATCAGCGGTTATGCAAAAACTTACTTTTTGTTTGGGTATAGATCATATACTTACTCCAGTGTATCATCCGCAACCAAATATAGTAGAGAGAAGAAACAGAGACATGAAAACTCAAATGGCGATATTTGTCAATAATCAACATCAAAATTGGCGAACTACGTTACCTACAATTAAGTTTGCTCTAAATACTGCTGTGTGTCAAAGCACAGGATACTCACCAGCTTATCTAATGTTTGGTCGAGAGCTTCGCACTCCTTACGATTTGGCACATGATCTCAGCACTATTGTTCAATCAGAAAATTTTGTAGCTGAAATAACGCCAACTTTGAAGAAGCTAATAAGGGATTTAAAAATTGCAAATGACAATGTAGAAAAACTACAAGAGTACAATCGAGACAAGGTTAACATAAAACGTAGACCCGATCCTGGTTATAAAAGTGGTGATTTGGTGTTAATTGAAACTCATCCATTAAGTAACCAAAATAAAAATTTTACATCAAAATTAGCACCAAGAAGAGATGGACCTTACACAATTATAAGGAAGATAGGGTCATCACTTTATGAAGTTGCAAATATAAGTAATCCGACTCAATCAATAGGTAAATTTCATACATCAGCAATAAGGAAGTTTGAACAAAGAGAAGAAGATGTTCCAGAAGCAATCCTGCCTATTAGAAGAAGAGGAAGACCAAGGAAAACTCCTGCCAATGATAATGCTGGTACTCTCATCGGGACGACTCACCGAGTACCAGAGGGGGAGGATGTAACGCGACAGACTCGCGTTGGCGTAAACAATATCACACTACGGCCAAGACGCATACACGCAACGCACACATAGAAGCGCGCGGCTTCTATATAATGCGATGTCCGATCAAGCTCGTGGCATTCGCTAGCTAGACGTCTGCAAGTACGATAGCCCACCGGGTCGTCTGCTTGTAGATCTTCAGTAGCTTTTCTTGACCGATGCCCCGCGTCGTTAAGTTAAGCCTTAGCTAGGTGAACATAAGGGTTGCGATGCCCCGCGTCCTCCCTACGGTTCAATGTTAGGTTAGTCATATTGTATGTACCTATCTACTGTTATGTTTTCAATATTGTAACAAGAAGAACAATAAATTACTTTCTTAAGGACAATTGAGTTTAATTCTCAACACGCCCTTACAATATTAGATTTCCCAAGGTTTTGCCAATTTCATATGTAACGTAATATAAATAATGATTTCCATAATCCAACAAATGTCCCCTTCCCCCATGTAGAACTGTATTCCAGCCTGGGACTTCCAGCATAAAAAACATTTATCACGCTTTAAACTAATAATCTTGTCAAAGGTGCGCGCAGGCGCAATGGGCGGGCACGTAGAGGGAAGTCCGTTCCTAGTCACAGCGTATAGCGCTGCCCGAGTCTCCGTCACGGACATATCACCGGGCACCGTTGGTCGACCCATATCCTTCACCATCAACGCCTCCCATGCCGGTAAGAAGCTCATCGTCTATATGTATCATTAAAAAATAGAGTAAAATGATAATTAAGTAGCCTTGGACACCATGGCCTCTATTGCCGAAAGAGTGCAGTTCGTTTTTTTCGCCACTCCGCACTCAACGACATCATACGCCGATCTCTCTCTCTGTCTCTCTCTCTCTGTCTCTATCTCCGTCTCTCTCTCTCTCGCTCTGTCTCTATATCTCTCTGTCTGTCTCTCACCACAGACATAGCAGGCGGAAAATAATAAACGGTTTAAATATAAGTGACTTTCCTCCAACTTCGATTTTGTTCCCTTTGGAGTAGAGACTCTTGGGATGTGAGGTTCAAGTGCATAGGCGCCGCTTAAAGATTTAAGTAGGCGCCTGGTAGAAGTACCGTTGACCCCGGAGCTGATGCTTTCCTCGCAAAACAGCGAGGAAATGCTGCCAGCATTAAAGGTACACTGCCAGAGGGACCATTATTAATTTAGTTTTCCGTTTTAATTATTATTATTGGTATTTATGTTTAGTGTAAGAAAAGGTATCTTTTATTAAGATTTAATTTCCTTAGTATAAGGCTAATGGATATATAGAAAGACAAATAAAGAGGCTGATAATGGTGAAGTTTTCGTATTCGTAACATGATAATGCGTCTAAAGAAAGCAACTGTTCTTCATTACAGGAGATGTCCAGGGGACGCCACAGTCTCACTTTTTCCTATACATATAATTATTTATTTAAAATAAATATATTTTAACTGAGTGATATACTTCCACTGGAGAAAGGGATTTAGAAAAATCTGTTTTGTCTTCAACAGGTGCTGGTAATTTGGAAATAATCGTTTCTGTGGCCGGTAGGAATGTGCCGAACTTTGTGCAAAGCGAAGGAAACGCGAGGTTTAAGGTAGGAAAATATATTTTTTATTTATATATATTATATATATGATATAATATTGATTGTTTCTGAAATATTAGGATATTTTCTAATTCGAATAAATCTAGACGTGCGAACATAACATTACTATACATTTACTTTTCCTAGTCAATTAGTTCCTAAAAAACTTTTGCTCGTATAGTAAAGGAAAACATCGTAAGGAAAGCGACGTGCCTTGGTTCTAAAAGTAGGCTGTTCAACTCGCCTCTTGGGGAAAAATTATGACGATACAGAATTCTAAGAGCAAAACCTAGCGGTTTTAGCGCCACGTTTTAAGGCATTTCGAAATATCAATTACATATTTAAATAAATTGAATTGATTACAATCAACTGAGCAGTGTTGGCCTAGTGGCTTCAGCTACGATTCTCATACCTGAAGTCATAGGTTCGATCCCCGGCTGTGCACCAATGGACTTTCTTTTCGCGCATTTCACATTTGCTCGAACGGTGAAGGAAAACATCGTGAGGAAACCGACATGTCTTAGACCCAAAAAGTCGACGACGTGTGTCAGGCACTGGAGGCTGATCACCTACTTGCCTATTAGATTTAAAAAAGGGTGCGTGTATTTTATGTACGCGCGTAAGAAGTTATACTTCTTTGGCTTTCTTTATTTTTTTAAATATAATTAATTAATAATTAATATTTAACTAATTTAATTAATTAATAATTTTTATTAATTTAATAATATTTAGTATATTATTCAATTATTAATTAATATTAATAAAAAAATATTATTATTTATTATTTTATTATATTATTCATTAAATTTAATAACTTGGTATGTTTCATAACCTTTTAACTAAGTAACAATAGGTCTTTGTGAAAAAACATTGCTAAATTTGTTTGAAAAAATAATTAAAACTCCTTTATTTGTTTAAAAGGTAAATGTCATTATGGTCATTCAAATTCTTGGCGTAGCTGCTAACTTCACGCATATTCTATTTCTTTTTACTTGTACATTGTCTTATTCCCATCTCGCTCGCGCACGCTATAATCACACTGACAACTTTGTGTCTCAGGTGCGCGCGCATCGTAAAATCACTCTCATAAATTTTTCATAACGCGCCTAAAGAAGTATAACTTCAAAAATGATAATGAAACAGATTCAGAAATCTGAGGCCAAGACCTAAAGAGGTTGTAGCGCCACTGATTTATTTATTTTATTAGATATTTTTTTACCACACAATTTCTATTAATTAATAAGGAACACATAACCACAAATTCAACAACAATAACTATAAGTAACGTCTATATTATCTAGTGCGAGCGGCGAAGAAGTGAGTACGCCGTACGGCCATATCGCGAGCCGTGCTTTTATAGCCTCAAAACCAGTTAAGTCCAGTATACCCCACTCGTACGCTTCAGTTGAGTTTTTACAGCTTATTCGGCCTCTCCTGACGACGGTGCGTCCTCGCCCGTGTGGTGACAAGAAGGCATATCTATTGAAACTTGATCAGGAGATGACTCTGCTATCGTCATCATCATCGCCACCTAAAAATCACATAATTTTTATTATTATAACGTTAAATTAACATTACTTACATCGAAAGTAAGAGCGCATCCATTACTTTCGACACAACATTACTCGAAATGACTATTTTTTTTTAATAGAACGGGGGGCAAACGGGCAGGAGGCTCACCTGATGTTAAGTGATACCGCCGCCCATGGACACTCTCAATGCCAAAGGGCTCGCGAGTGCGTTGCCGGCCTTTTAAGAATTGGTACGCTCTTTTCTTGAAGGACCCTAAGTCGAATTGGTTCGGAAATACTTCAGTGGGCAGCTGATTCCACATAGTAGTGGTGCGCGGCAAAAACTGCCTTGAAAAACGCTCAGTTGTGGAACGGCGGACGTCGAGGTGATACGGGTGGAATTTCGTATTCTGTCTCGACGTCCGATGATGAAACTCAGCTGCAGGTATTAATCCGAACAACTCCTCTGAACACTCTCCATGGTAAATGCGGTAGAAGATGCAGAGTGACCCCACATCTCTACGCAACGCCAAAGGATCAAGCCGCTCGGAGAGGGATTGGTCGTCGACGATTCGAACCGCTCTGCGTTGTATACGGTTAAGTGGAAGGAGCTGGTACTGGGAAGCCCCCGCCCAGAGGTGAGAGCAGTACTCCATGTGGGGCCGAATTTGCGCTTTATATAGTTGCATGCGGTGGCCCGGAGTGAAGTACCGCCTCGCCTTGCTGAGCACAACAAGCTTTTTGGAGGCTAATTTAGCCTTTCCCTCCAAGTGACCGCGAAACTGAACGTCGTTCGATATGTCAACGCCAAGTATTCCAATGCTGGCTGTGGATTTAAGAAGAGTGTTTTCGAAAAGAGGAGTAGCGACAAAGGGTGTTTTTTTAGCGGAAAACGCGCAAACTTGTGTCTTCTTGGGGTTAAATTGGACTAGGTTTTGTCTGCCCCAGTCTGAGACTCCACGTAGTAGAGTTTCGACTTCAGACACAAGTTTGTTCCGGTACTCATCAACAACTGCCCGAGAAATACCTGCCCGGCCAGTGTAAAAAGTATCCCCAGTGCTGTCATCCGCATAGCAATGAATGTTGCTAAGTTGCAACATATCATTGATATGCAAAAGAAATAGGGTCGGGGATAGAACACAGCCTTGTGGGACCCCAGCGTTCACAGGTTTAAGGTCGGAACATGCTCCGTCGATGACGACCTTGATGCTCCGATCGGCCAGAAAGCTGGAGATCCAATCGCATAATTTCTCGGGAAGCCCATAGGCTGGAAGCTTCGAGAGCAGTGCTCTGTGCCACACCCGATCGAAGGCTTTCGCTATGTCCAAACTTACCGCCAGCGCCTCCCCCTTGGACTCAATTGCCTCTGCCCACCTATGGGTAAGGTATACAAGGAGGTCACCAGCTGAGCGACCACGACGAAAGCCGTACTGAGAATCGCTAATCAACTGGTGGCCCTCTAGATACCACAAGAGCTGGCAATTAATAATGGTTTCCATTATTTTAGAGAACAAGGAGGTTATAGCTATTGGGCGATAGTTGGACGGATCAGAGCGATCGCCTTTTTTAGGGATCGGATGTATCGAAGCGGTCTTCCAGCACTTCGGGACAGTGCCGAGCGAGTACAGGTACCGAAAAAGGCGCGTTAAGACCGGAGCCAACTCAGGAGCACAAGTACGCAGCACAATTGGGGGGATACCATCCGGCCCGCTCGACTTATGAATGTCCAAGGAAGATAGTTGCTTTGCGGACAGCACGTTGCCGGAAATCACACCGCGAAATGGTCGGTGGTGATCTTCCTTGGTCATCCAAAGTCGAGTTGGACGCGAAGAGACAGCCCAAAAGGTCGGCCTTCTCCTTCGCAGTATGGGCCAGAGAGTCATCCTCCCTGTGCAGTGGCGGAATGGCGGGCTGACAAAAATTCCCTTGGACAGCTTTGGCGAGAGACCAGAAGGCTCGAGTCCCTGAAGGGAGCTGGGCCAATCTCTCGCCAAATCTGGCAATGTGCTCTGACTTTGCCTTAGTGATTTCCCGTTTGAAGAACCTGGAGGCTGAGTTATATGCTGTTTTAAGTTCGCTGGTATTGGCATCACGAGATTTCGCCACTTCCGCCCATGCCTTAAAGCATTCTCGCTTTCGACGCGAGGCCGCCTTGCAAGAACGTTTAAACCAGGGCTGAGACTTGCCACCGATCGGCACCGCAGAAAATGGAATAAAGAGTTCCATGCCCTGCAAAACCACTTCGGCGACGGAGGCGGCGACGGAATCTGGAGCTTCCGGCGAAAAGCACATAGGCCCCCAAGGGTAGGACGCAAAGAAAGACCGCATTCCGTCCCAATCTGCTGACTTATAGTGCCAAATACGGCGACAACCCATAAAGTGGGGCCGTGAAGGGCGCGTAGATGGCACAGTACTCCGGACCACACAATGATCCGATGAACCCAATGGCGGGTCAACAGAGGCTTGATAGTTCTCCGGATGTGAAGTCAGCAGAAGGTCCAACAAAGAGGGTTTATGACCATCCACATCTGGTATTCGCGTAATCGCAGGGACCATTTGTGTCAGGTCGTAGGCTAAAGCAAAGTCGTGAAAGGATCTTCCCGCGTGATCGGTGGTTTCAG